TAAGAAACAAGCATTGAGGACAAGCAGCCTGGGGCTTCGCTTTTCTGCAATTTGTAGGCTATGTACAGAAGTTTGAACTTAATTCTGCTTTCCACTGGAAGCCAATGTAAATCCTTTAACAGGGGTGTGGTATAACACTTTCGATATAGTGTACAAGTGCCGTTCTTGTGTATTTTCTGTAATTCTTGTTATTGACTAATTAAGACAGGAATCATGTTGGTTGTTAATATTACTATATTATATGTTAACAGTTAATCAAAATAAATTACAGCAGACAATTAATGTAACAAATATTGGTTCAATGCTTAATAGTAGATAAGCTTCAATGTGGATATGGGAATTGACATAAACTTCTGTCTCCAAATATCCAAATACAGGTAAATAAGGTCTGTCCTTAGGAATGTGATCTATTTTAATTTCCCAATGACACGGTTGTAGCAAGCCGCCTCTTAACTAATTCATTTGAGTCTATATATCCCATGAATTACCGAGGGCATTAATCCCATAAATCCATCTTCTATACAAATAATATAAACGCTATAGCCCGTAGACGTTAATTACAATTTATAAGATCAATTTAAAGTGTAAAATAAAGAATACTGGAGACAGGTGACAGAAATATATAAGACAATATGAAGTAGATATAAATGGGGGGGGGGGGGTTAATTAAGGTGGATTAAAGTCCATTAAAATATAGTTCATTGAATTAAGTAATACTCCGCGGATTAGCACGATGAATTAAACATTTACTATTGGGTCGCAATTCACTCGTGCATATGGTACTAGCTGTGTAATTTTTTCGGACATTTCATTTCTGCCCCACCCCTAAATACATCGGACTCGTGCGCTTATGTTACCAACAAATGATGCTATCTAACTATAAACGAAGCGGGGGTGGGGTGGGGTGGTCGAATGGATAATGCATGCGCGTTGGATCATAAGGTCTGTTACTGAGTCAAGTGGCGTGGTTTACATTGCCCGCTTGTACGTGACAAGGAGTAGGGTCGCCTGCCCAACCTCGTGGGGTGTCTCCGGGTCCTCAGGTTTCCTCCCACTGCTAAAGAGGAAATCATTGAAATATAATTTAACCATATTGTATTCCAAAAATGACCCAGGCCCTTATTCACGAAAACTTAAACTAAGATACAATCGAAATTTTAAGAAATACTGCAATTCGATTGGCTGACCAGTAAAATCAATTTGCATATATCCAATTTGCATATTGGTCAGCCAATCGAATTGCAGTATTTCTTAAAATTTCGATTGTATCTTAGTTTAAGTTTTCGTGAATAAGGGCCCTGGTTTGTGTCCAGTTGACGTTATTTATCTGGTTAGTGAATATTGTTATCTGTTAACATCATAAAAGGGTGGTTTTTCTCATTGATTTGTTCACGAAAATATACTTCAGACTGGCTGGTTTTTGCAGCCTCAATACCGGTTTATGTACAGAGAGCGAGCGAGAGAGAGAGAAATGGGGTTTAACGTCCACTTGACAAAAACTAGGTCATTTCGGGACTAACATGTGGTTCAATTTTATTTCCATAATTCGCTTGCGCGTAGGCGTCTTTAGCAGTGGTAGGAAATCTGAGGACCCAGAGAAAACCCTTGAGACAATTTAGGATCTTTATAAAATTGTCTCTTCAATTTTGTCTATAAAGTCAAATCTCACGTACTTAATGAACGTGGGTATAGTTATTCGTAAAAAAGTGATATTTTGGTCAAATTATAATCATTGTCAAAATAGTCATCAAATTCTGGCTGTTTATTGACCTATGGTTGATAGACCAAAAATAGGTAATGTTTCCTATCTTATTTGTGGGAAATAAAGAGTTTTATTCCTTATATGGCGTGGAAATTAACGTCAAGGTTATCGAAGACCTGCAGAAATTAGGGGGTATAAATTAGGGTGTAGAGGCGAGCTGGATTAGAGCTCACCCAGAAATTCCTACCAGCCATTATCATTGAAACTAGTTGTGAAACTATTTTATGCTGTAGTCTTATTAAAGATCACCAGAAAGTAGTACTACACCTTGAGTGGTGTAAACCTTATATTCGGAGGCGTGTTTCACTCAAAGTAGTTTCACACTACAATCACACGGGTGGCAACTATAGTTGCCATTTCCGATCGCGTAACTCCTCACGTCTACACCACATTCGGATGAGTGTTATATTTAAAATGGTGTAATTTTACTCTTAAATTGTTTACATTCGTGTGTGTAAATTATTCATTACACCTCAGTGCAGGATTTTTTATAATTTACACTTCTATATTAAACATGCATTATGTAAGAGCTAAATCTGCCTATTGCGGGTCTTTCTTTTGGTCTGAAATGTTATCTGAATTATTAAGTAGGCATTCATCAACTTATCCAGTCCGTAATCAACTCTCGATGCCATCGTTACCCTGCGATATTTAGTTGATTTAAATATATTTTGTGATGGATAATTTAACGTAAAAATGCATAATCAAGACTTTGTTTATTATCGTACCGACGTTAGTAATGAAGCAATTTGACTGAAATTTTCAGCATATTCTGTTTTCATTATCTATTTTTAATTATTATAGCCAGAACTGTCAGCTCTTATCTAATCTTAAGTAATGCCCCTTGAACTCTTACACCCAAACTGGTGTAATAGTGTAAATATTTATTGAAAACAGTTGCAGAATAGAGTTGATTGAATAACTCTTTCAAGCCAACGACTTTTACGTTCAGAAGACTTGAAATTGAGTTTAGGTGCCCCTGTGAAAATCAGTATAGGTGTTTAGTTCGGCACATTTACATACAGAACGTCCGTTAATTTGCTTCATTTTACAACAACTTTAAATTTACAAATATCCACCAGCAGACCAATTCAAAGTTAACTGCCGTTGAGCAATTAGACATCCCGTAAACATTTACAATGAGTTGATAGTGTGGTTTATTCATTTATGCACGTCATCTGAATTTAAAATAAGTGTTTAAGATATTGTATACGGTAATATTTTGGAACATTTACACGTTTTATATTGTAAACACTTGAGGTAATGATAATATTTTAAGAGTAAAACACTCTTATATAGGTTATACCTGTGATACTAAGGAAATCAACGCTATATTTTACGAAAACACCCAGATTGTAATAGAATGGTGTAGCGCATCCAAAATAAGCACCCATTAGCGGCTATAATTACACCGTCCGCTTCTGCTTAAGGTGATATTGCAGACAAGAGAGGGATCCACTCGACACAAACTAGGTCGTTTTGTTACTAACATATGCTACAATTTTATTCAATAATTCACTACCGCGTAGGGGTCTTTAGCACTTGGAAGAGCCCAAAGAAAGGACATGAGGTTGGGCTGGGGACCCTACTCCTCGTCACGTACACGCTTGGTATCGAAACCAAGGCACTTGACCCCATGCCAGATCTTATTATGTAAGCCGCACGCCTTAGATCATTTGATCACCCTCACCCCACCCCACCCATCCGACAAGTCCAGTCCATTCCGATTTCGTATCAGTTTGCTATACAATCGGCGGTATAAAAATAATCGATGAAGAATAAAGAGCAAATAATTAACATTCTACTTCTTGGGGTCGTATTTAATTACACTAATAGCTAATAGAAATCCATAGACTATTCATTTTATTTCAATAATCGATAAATCTCGTTGGTTTAATGCTAATCACAAAAAGACTATTGATTTTTTTTTGATTTTTGTTTTATGCCGATATAAAATCTTAAGGAGTATTATGGGCCAGTGTCTAATCTTTGTTTAAGAGGCACAGTGACACAAGAGACTAGTAAACATTTTCCTTATTTAAAGATACATTATGGGAGATTAGAGAACTATAATGGTTAAAAACTAGATAATAAAGGCAATTGGCTGAATATTTCAGTCAAATGGATCCACTATGAACCGAGAAATAAGCGATCGAAAGGACGCATAGCCTCGTTCATCATTACTAAAGTCGGTACGACAAAAATCATAGTCTCGATTATCCATTTAATCGTTAAATCGAGAAGGAAATTTATGCAGCAAATCGGATCATAATCCAACAATTATCGCAGGCTAGCGTTGACATCGAGAGTTGATTATAGTCTGGACACGTTAATTAATGTTTACTTAATAGTTTATATAACATTTCAGGCCTATAGAAAGACCTAGAATAGGCAAATTTACTCTTGGATAATGTATGTTTAACGTTAACTAAGATACACCCGCCCACACATCCGCTGTGTCTCGGAAAAAAAGATAACCATAGCCAGCAGCTTATCCGAAGAGAAAATTTGGATGGTGGCCAAATTGGATCTTTTATGCCTTCAATAAATCGTTATGACCCAAATTCTTCACCAAATTTAAACGAAATCTGTTAAAAACAAAAAAAGATGAGGCAACTACCACTTTGGCCTCGATATTTGTGGATAGAAATGATTTATAGCTTATTTTGTAGTATGTTATATTTTTAATGAAACAATTCACTTGCTTGTAGGTGTCTTAAACAATGGAAGTAAAATGGGGTTTAACGTCCTACTGTTCTCCGACTAATGATGATGGGCATACGCCATACAGTGTGCTACAAAGAAAATTTTGCCCGGACAGCGGCACTACTGCCTACTCTTATATCGAATTCCAACTGCTAAGGGATCTTTTAAGTGCACGCCATTGTGTACACGGGACCTCGGTTTTTCGTCCCATCCGAACGACTATACGTTCCTTTGCCAGGCCCCCTGTTCTGCACCACTGACAAGGAGGAACCACATCGGAAAAATTCAGATGAACTTTCTCCGCCAACCAAGGGGCTAGCGAGCCAACGTCGTAATCACTGAGCCAACGTGACTCCGTGGAAGGAAACCCGCGAAAACACACCGACCCTACTTCTGTTTGCATACAAGCATGGGAAATACTGGGAATCGGACTTCTACACATGCATCGATGATAGACCTAAAGCGTAAGCCTACTCAGCCACCTGTATAAAAAGTAAATGGCTTACATGTCAAACATTTATTTATTTTTCAGAAAAATGAAATCACCAACACCAACAACAAACACCATTGCATACACCGTTAACCATGGAAAAACAACAGACACCAGTGCGTACACTGCTGACCATGGAAAAACAACGGAAGACGATTCGTCACAAAAGAATGAAAATTCGGAACCGCCACGACTGGCGTGTGGCTATTTTGGTACAGCATTTCCTGATAAATTGGACGAAAATTTATATCAAAGATTTTTCCGACGTCAAAGAGTGGAATGTTCAGTGCTAATAGTCTTCGCGACTGTGCTTTACTGTGTGTGCGTTATTATACTGGAGATTATCAGTAAATATATTTACAAATCCAACGCCAGATATTTTATATTAAGAATCGGTATCAACTGTGCTGTGTTAATATTAACAACCTTCTTTCACTGTGTCGACCGATTTTCAAATCTATTTCACAAATTTATATTCTATCCTTTTATACCTTGGGGTTTGTTTTTTATTGTTGTGTTTTTTGACACCGGAAGTCGTGATATTAACACTCCGTCTGACGGATTGACCGTTACCTTACTCTTGATATTTGTTACTTTTTTGACTTTACCGAGACGTCTTGTAGAGTGCTGCGTGGTAGCTGTTATAATTTGTGTTGTTCATATAATAATCGTGACAATATTCTGGTATCAACAACATAACCCTTTTCTTCTTGGTAACCAGGTAAGTTGCTATCGCCTAACATGAAGCATGCAGGCGTGGTTTCCCATTGTGGTTTTTGACTGAGGTCCCGTGTACACATTGGCGTACACATTCTATACTTGAATCACTAACGGTCCTTATGGTCTAAAGCGCACGCTTTAGTCCTCTGGACCCCCTTCTGACCGTTAAATATCAAATTGGCTAAAATCTTATAAGCGAGCGCTGGTGGTCATAAATTACGTTAAAAGTTGAGATAAATCACACTGCATGTAGAAATTGATTGAAATGAAGTTCTGACATTTGTCTAACTTTGTGACAAAGGTAGCATTGATAGAGTAGATTAAAGCCAGCGTAAAGCCGTACAGGCTGGCATTATACAAGGTTAGTTATGATGGAGATTTCATTGAGTAGGGAGAAGCAATTGTTATAAAATAATGGCTAGGGAATAAAAACAACACTGATTGATTAATATTAACGTATTGCAATACATGACTGGCATAGTATACATACAAGCTAATCCAATCTTAAAGAAACATTCCCACGAAAATTCTACTAAGGATTGTTATTTGCAATAAAATTATGGCGTATTTGGTGTACATGGAACGAAGAGACACCCAATCTTTTTAGAAAAATACTGGATTCTCGGAAACACCGCAGGACAAAAATGTAAGTTTGTCACTAACTGGCAGTCTGTCTACTCGGGTGACGTAAAGAACGCTTCTTCTGCGTTGATCTAATGACTATGGGTTGTAAGAAGACTAAGAAACACTGATATTAGGTCTTATAATCACGAAATATCGGAGTTATACTTGTAGATATCGCGGATACTGTTGTTTTCAATTCTTGGTGTGTTTTATGTTTATGCTTCAACCAGTTTATTGGTTTATATTTCGACCATATTTCTTCAAATTCTAACTGTCAATATGTACACGGGAGGATCTCGGTTTTTCGTTCCATTCGAACGACTAGGCACGATGTTCTTGTCAGCCCAACATCAGTCATCCCTGACAAGTGAACACCTAGCTTGAAAACTCCCAAAGGGTATTATTAGCCTATTTTGGTGTCGGGTTTTTGATTTCGTGGTGAGGGTGTTTTATTCCGAAACAAAGAACATATCTACAGACTTTGGTTTAAACAAAAAAAAAACCACAAAAAACGTTATAGTTCTGGTTCGATTTTAATCATTTATAAGCAAACCATTAATTTGCTTTGATTTGCGACTTTGATAAAGCTATGTAAGGTAATAATTATGAATCTGCTAATAAATAATGCATTTGGTAATAGAAAAAATGAAAATACTAATTGCCATAGAGGTTGTTTTTTCTTTTTTAAAAATTATTTAGCTAAGTAATAGGATGTAAGTCAGATCGATTTCCATTGTCAACAGTTCCGTATAAATCGTGATCGTCACTAGAATCATTTAAGATAATTACAACAGGTTAATGTAATTTTTGTTGAAATATAATTTATTTTTCCATTAAGCTTATTTGATGACTGATAATAACATTATGAATGAGGATGTTTTAGTCAACACAGAGGTTAGCTGTGTAAATAATACACATATAAAACAGGCCAACAATAATCAATAGGCTTAAATACGGTACGTATATATAAAACCATAGTTTCCAGTTAAAGGTGAAGCTCCACCGATTTAAAAGGATAGGAGAATAGGGTTTAACGTCTATCGACACAAACTAGGTCATTCCGGGACTAACTTATGGTTCAATTTTAATTGCGTAGGACTTGCTCGTAGAACTCGGACAAAACCAGCGAGGTTGGACAATAGCCAAGCAGCTCCTTGTCAAAAGATCGAAACCCACTTGATTCGACGACAGATCAAATGCGAAAGCGTTACCCCCGCCCCCCAACACACACACACACACATATTACTATATTCTGATATAACGATGACAGCCACTAGCAGCAACTTTACCACGTTCTAGACGCCCCCCGTTCAATTTAACTTCACACGAATTTGAAAGATCTGGTCTCAGGCCACAATTATTTCCTCCATTCAGTCATCCATGAATGTATTTCCCGTTAATCCTTTTTGAATGACCATTTTTTTTACTTTTGGTGTAGAATCGAAGAATTCTTCCATTTTTAAAGCAATATATATTTTGATGCTGAATCATAGAATGTTTTCAAAATTAAGCTGTGGGCGAACAAGTAACGCCAAGGCTAACAAACGATATCATCTTCTTAAAGTATTGACCAGAGAAACCAGAAATATTTACTATTTAATAATAAACCATTTTACGAAGGAAGATAAATTTTATTACATTAAGTAACCTAATTACATTTAATTGTCTTAAATAGCTGGTTTATGCTAAATTACCAATCAGAAGAAATAAACCTCAAGTCCTAGAATCTGATTATCAATATTTATAATATGACATGGAATGATACGAACAATATGGACACAAGGTATATTCCCAGACCCCAATCGAAAATTGTCTCTTTTTTTTTAAGAAAAAAAAAAGTAAGGGGAAACTTCTATTATGACAATTTTGATTATGTCATATCTAAGTCACAATTACCAAAAATTCGGAAGTAATGTCCCATTGTGCCTAAACAGTATTTTGGTGGAATTATTTTTACAAAATGTCCTCCGCAAACACATTTAACTTTTACATTTCAGGTTAAGTGCACAGGTGTAAAAATCAAAAGATTATAAAATACCTTTATTATTCTTACAGAATCTAATTCTAACTTAAAGTAGCTAAGTCCCTAACTCAACATTTACCATAATATTCAAAATGAAATACACAAATTAGAATATAATATTGGTTCATATTAATCAATATTGATGTTGTTATCTTACCCTGAAGATATATTTAAGACTCGGTGGTTTCGGATGGCATTAGTAATTTGTATCCTACAACACAATGCGGATTGCGGAAGTAATTAATAATGGCTGATTCACAAACGACAAAATAACAATTAAACAAAAGTAAACAAATGCCGGTCGATTTGGATTGTTCACATATTTCCCAAAACATAATTGATTAGAAATTACAATGCACAATTTCAAAATTGAATACACATCACTTTCGTCTATTTTAATGTTCCAAAGAATAGAGCCATAACCCTTTAAAGACACTTAAAGTAGATGTTTGTACTGAAAAATTAAATCTTTTACTTTTATATTATAGATTGGTGCTAATGTTTTACTGTGTCTTGGATCTGGTCTGCTGGGTTCTATCTCATATCTATATTTCGATAGACAACACAGAATATCATTCCTGGAGACAAGGTCATCACTTTCCGTCGAGGTCACCATAGAACAAGGTCATTTAGAACAGGTATTTTAATTGGTTTCTAATTTATATAGCTCAAAAAGGATATTCGCCAATCCGCATTACGTTTTGTTCGCTTAGCACAATTGGAATTATCTACAATTGTCTACAAGTTTCACGAGACATGAAAATCATCCCACAACAAAATAAAATTGTGGAGTACATTCACTTTAAGAATTTTTCTCCATATATTTGTAAGCGTGATTGGAATGTTTTCAATAAGCAATAAGATATATATAATTGGATTGTTCCCAAATAATGATATCTTTCAATACGATTTATATTGTATACTCGAAATGTTCCCAATAAGCAATAACAGTTAAGTGATACAATAAAGTTATATTGTTCTCAGTAAGCAGTAAGGTTTATAATATTGTTTAAATGACATAAATAAATAAATATAGCTGTATGGTGTTTATAATGTTATCAATAAGCAATAAGGTTTATAATGTTATTATCAATAAGCAATAAGGTTTATAATGTTCTCAATAAGCAATTATAGCAGAGCTCGTGCGAGGATGTTGGGGGACAGCCGGGACAATTGTACAGGGGCCCGGAGCCTAGAGGCCTAGAGGTATGCCGAGTAATGTTTTTTTGAATAAATTAATAAAGAATACACTGTTACTTGATCGTAAAGTAGAAGAAACCTGGTGACTATTCTGAATATGAGTAGCCTACATGTAGCTACCTAGTGGCGTGGGTAGGATTAGAATCGGATTCTGTCAATCCACTCTTTTTGGAAAGATTGGTGAATTAAAAACTATAAGTCACCTGTCCGGGCCTTCGCGCCGTGAGGCCCCGACCCGTCATTGTTCCGTTTGATGTTCTCGTCACCGTCAGGGTATCTGGGCCCCGGCAGGTAATCCGGACCTAATCCGGGCCTGTAGAACCCTACAATGATGGTGGGTGCGCCAGAGTCGCGTTCTGCCGCCAGTGGTTGTCGATCGCTCTAGCTAGGCTGCCTGGTATCCCATCATTTTCATTTTGATATTTTAGAATCTGATGGTCACGGTGTTTTCCATTTGTTGCTTGCTTAAAATTTCCTGACAAAATTATGTACATATGATATTATTACATCAGTAAAACTAGAAACTAAAACGTAGTGCATGTATTTGGTATTTCATATGTTTTGTCAAAGGGCCCCGAGCAATAGTGTGTATAATGTTATGAATAAGCAATCAATAGGGTTTATAATGTTCTCAATAAGCAACAGGGTTTATATACTATTCAAAAAAAAGTAGGGGATATTTGATTTTTAAGTGTTATTAAAGTCACCTAATGAAACTGACGAAGAAACAAATGACAAAATGAAATGAAGTTCACATTCATCGATTTATTCCAAATGATCGTTAGACTAAGTAAGGCACAGACTGACCATTATAAGGGTAAAATGATACCCGGGGTCAAACAGCAAAGTTACCACAGCATCACAACCAAGTCAGTAACGGGTAAATCCTCCTCTGTTTGCCAAACAAGCATTGATCCGACGTGGCATACTCCTAATGAGACGTCTAAGGTCATTTTGGTCCAGATTGTCCCATTCCTGTTGCAACGCAGCAGCAAGTTCTTGGACATTGGCAGGACGTTGTTGACGTTGACGTAACCTCTGTCCAAGCATGTCCCAGACATGCTCGATGGGGGAGAGGTCGGGACTCGGTGCTGGCCAAGGTAATGTGGTGATGTTCTGTTGTTGGAGGTAACCTGTAACGATCCTGGCCCTGTGACATCTTGCGTTGTCATCCTGGAAGATGAAACGGCGGCCATGACGTCGTGCGAACGGCACAACATGGACTGCCAAGATGTTGTCCCGGTAGTACTGGCCTGTAACACGCCCTGCAACAACATGTAAAGCCGTTCTTCCAGCAACAGTGATGCCTCTCCACACCATAACAGAACCACCCCCAAATCGATCATGTCTGATGACGTTAACGTCTTGGAAGCGCTCGTTTCGACGACGCCACACCCTCCTACGTCTGTCCAAAAAATCAACAGTGAACCTTGACTCATCTGAAAACATCACATTGCTCCAGCGTCGATTATCCCAGTGTTGACGATCCCTACACCAACGACGTCTTGCCTGAATGTGATGATCTCTCAAACAAGGGATCACGCGAGGACGTCGGGCGCGAAGGTGACCCCTATGCAGTCGATTCCGAATCGTCTGGCCACTCACTCTCACACCAGTGTCTGTTTGAAGACGAGCGCTGATCTGATTTGCTGTGATGACACGATTTCTCAAGGCCAAGGTACGGATAAATCGATCCTGGGCTTGAGTTGTCGCCCTTGGTCGACCTGAGCGTGGTCTGTCCTGTACAGATTGTGTATCACGGTATCTGGACCATAGCCTGCTTATGACAGACTGAGAAACATTCATCGTCCGCGCCACAACCGCCTGTGTTGTGCCGATCTGTAGCATGCCAAGGGCACGTAACCTTTCATTTTGGGTAAGCCGACGCATATCAAAATTTGTTTTCTGGTCACTAAAACAATTAAACTGATGTTTCCACCCTGGAATTCAATGCCACAATGACTGTAACATTCAAAGTCAGAGTCGTGCAAATCTTGGGTTGGACCCCCATGATGATCCCAAGCATCACCTGCATTCCATGCGGTAGCTATTGGTGCGTTTGGGCGTCACATGTAACTGGAAATGTTTCTTCTGTTAGGTTCTATAGTGACTTTTTTCGTAGTCATTTGCATATTTTAGTATTATGCCCCCAAAATCAAATATCCCCTACTTTTTTTGAATAGTATAATATTCTCAATAAGCAAAAGGGTGTATAATGTTCTCAATAAGGTTGATAATGATAACAACCTGGGCTTCCGCAATTAGGTTTATACAGTTCTCAATAATTGATAAGGTGGATACAGTTCTCAGTAAGCAATACGGTTGATACAGTTCTCAGTAAGCAATACGGTTGGTTTTATTTTCAATAACCAATACGTTGATATATACAATCGGTATGTTCCCCAATGCGCAATAAGTTTTAATATGTTCACAATAAAAATTGCTCGTAATCATCGACGAGGTTTCTTAACACGTTTGGAATGTTACCAGATAAGCAATAAAAGTTGTCCGTATAACATGAATGTTCCGTGTAACAAAACATTAAGTTGTGCCACAAAAATGTTCATAAATAGGTAATACGTTTCGTATTATCAAACCTGGAAATAATGCACCTGTCACAGACGATGTCAGGCACAGATTAATACATGTCCTGCACTAAGTTGAACATGTCGGGTACTATTTCATTAGTGTCTGACATTTTGTCAGGTACATATAAAACCGTTATTTCCAGGCCTGCGTATTATCCATTAAGTGTTTTCCCAATGAGTAGTTAACACTCCCAAAAAAGTAAAAAGAGACATTCATGTAATGACAATGGTTCTCAGTCACCAGTATGTGTTTCAACTAGAATGTTCTGTAATGCGAAATAAGGTTTATATCACAAGCATTCATATTCCATTCTTTGATTAAAGTTATCGACCCCGACCCCGGTGGAGCGGACAGTATTTGATTTTGTTTCTGGTCTTATATAAAAGTGGTATGTACTTAAAACCAGTGTTTATTATATACACGTTACACCAATTTCATTTAAATCCATTTAAAATTGATTGATATATCTTCACTCAAATTCGGAAATAATATAGACCTGCCCTGGAAACGAGTTTGCCAACAAAACATCCTAAATTTTCACAAACGCCGGTGGCGTCACAGTGACAAGATGTTTATTAAGAGTGCTGTTTGCTCTACAACTAGACGGCTCGGATGTGTATTTGTTAACGACTCATTGATTCCTTAATCAAAATAAGCTAAAACAGTTAATTACTGGATGTTTGAAATGAAATCGGGCGAGATAAAGTAGCATAGATTATTAAAAGAGCGGTTGATTATAAATCACACATGTAATTTAGAGTTTATCATAAATATGGCACGCCCAGGACGATCGCTGTCGTCATATTCCCGTTTTATTTAAATTCGAATAATTCAAGGAAGCAAATAATACACGTACAATAATAGCCCTCCAATTCAAAAAATAAGTCAACAGGCGCGTGCCGACCACCTCGCCTCCTCCGCCCTTGCTCGAGCAGAGAATATTTTGTCTCTCCTACATTCATTGATTTAACGTCGGACAAACAAAGTGCGAAGAATTGTCTCCGTTTTGGCCTCGTTCCACTTTAGTTCTATACATATGTATGCACCTAAATAAACGAAAATATTGTCTGAGCTTCTGATTTTATAAAAAAATTCTCTGGTAATCCACCAGACCTCACGTCAAATTTGACATTGTCTCGATCCCAGACCCTCCCTTGCTAAAATTTATAAACACGCCTGTGTTCAACAATGAACCTGCAATAATAGTCCTCCAATTATAACAATACAATGGGTTGGAGCAATTGTTATCGACGCCGTTAATGTGAACATCAATGACGCCAATACATATTATTAAGCTGGCTTTCGCAAGAAATAACTACATACATGTGTACATTTAGTTGATCGATATACGTGTTATTGATCATTTAGATCAAACCACGCCAGTTGACACAATGACAGACCATATGATACAACGCGCACGTGTTAACCATTCGACCATCCATCCCCTCACCCCCATACGTTAAGAAAATGGAGGAAGAATGTTTAGACTGAGACAACACTAATAAATAAATAGCCACTTAAATGACGTGAAAGATATTTTGTTAAACTTATTAAAAAGTTGGAAATAAATGTTATGTGTAGGATAAAGCACGAGACTGATCTATAGTCTCAGAAAATCGTTTTTTCTTTTTCTCGAGTTTATTTCTTCAGTCTTTCTTTCCCCAGCATAACCCAAGTCGAGGACTTTATCTTGCTTATAAACCGACTATGTTTACATGTACGCAAGATGAGAATATCCCAGAATTCCCATAAGAAAAACAAAACCTTAGATCATGTTTTCTTATGGAAAAAACCCTACCCTGGAAGAATAACCTGTTACAGGTTTAAAAAAAAACTTTCAGAAGAATAACCCCAAATTCCCCTGTATATATCCAAAGCCCCCCCCCCCCCCCCCCGACTTTCAGATCTTAAGTTATTCCGGGCGTAGAATATACCCCAAAGATCAAAGGGATTTACCGTTACAGGTTTATAATATCTTCGACTGAATTAAAATAAGGTTTATCTGGCGTAAGTTATAACACAGTGGAAATGACACAAGGGTTTGGTTTAAAAACGACGTCGTCAAGGTAGTTAATCGTCCAGTTTGGATTAAGCTGTCCCTTTATCACCTGGAAACGGAATCTTTGTATATAAATACTGAACGACATTGAAAGATGTGAGGACTGATATTGCCTTAACGGATCGAACGTTTAAAATATTGTAGTTTACAATGGATTCAAAATAACTTAAATGGCAATTAACAGCTTTAAAGGCTCAATACCACTCTAGTTGTAACTAAATAATAATTTTATGTCCCAATCTTTATTCTGGTCAACAAATTGCACTATTTTACAATATTCCAATTAATTGATGATACAAATTTCATCTTAACACACCTAATTTAAAAAATTAGAAAAATTCAACTAAATGATTTGAAAAGCCTGACGTAAAGCTTTTCAAATGTGACTTGGATTTAAAAATATTTTTGAACCCTCTGGACAAGTAAAATAGGATTTAATGGATAATTTACACAACATTAGGACACTTACACATTTAGTACTTAGAATAAAGCTATTTTTTATCTTCTGGAGCTGTCAAGCCAGCAAGAGTGTTATTGTCCCTTTAAGGAAATTGAACTACAATGTATCAGTACTTTGATGATGTTTGGAGACTGAGTACCAAACGGTTAGAATTCCGTAAAAACAAGACATCTATTTATCTCAAAATCAATAACCTATTTCGCAATTATATATATATAATATCTGTGAGAACATGGTGTTCTATTGATTATATTATTATACATCTTGGTATCCGTATCACATATTGTGTATTTATATTATGTGTAGTGATGATGTCTTTAAGGCCACACCAAAATAATTCTGCTCGTCGGAAATTTTTGATTGTTTTAAAATAAGAAATTTCCAACTTTATACAACCTCCCATGCAAATCGAAATAAATATTGCATTATTAGCCCAGACTCGTTGTAGGCTGTCAGTTCTGTCACCCATTGGAATTATTTTACTTTTATAAAATCTCTGATTTATCTTATCTCATCTTATCTTATCTTATCTTATCCGGATAGATTAAAGGGGCATAGTTAAAATAATAGTTAAAAATAGATAATGAAAACAGTATATGCTGAAAATTTCAGTCAAATCGCTTCAATCTGAACCGCGATATTAATGATTCAATTTTAGGGTAGCTTCGATCGTCATTACTAACGTTGGTAGGATAAGAAACAAAGTCTCGATTATCCATTTTTACGCTAAATTATCCATCACAAAATGTATTCAAATCCACTAAATATGGTAGCCTAACGATGGCATCGAGGTTTAATAATTTAGATAACATTTCAGGGCTGAAGAAAGACCTGCAACAGACAGATTTAGCTCTTGTATAATGCATGTTTAACCAATATCTTATTTGTAATACATGCATGTTCCACTGGATTACAGTGGTGCTCCACTGGATTACAGTGGTGTATCCTTTGTGTATTATATTTAGAAGATTAGTAACTAGGAGCGTAAGGTGACCCAAACAATCTGAAAGAACTTTGGACGACCAAGCAATGAAGAGTGTTTAGATGTTCGGATGGGAGTGAATTGTCAAATTGTCCCTCATAGCACAGTGCACTGCGTATGTACATCTTCATTAGCCATGCACTAAATTAGTACCACATGATTACATAATATCACATGCCGGATTTAGGCATAAGCTAAACAAGTTTCTAGAGCCCCAAAATCCCCATGATAAAGTTTCTATATTTTTTTTTCTCGTAAATTGTTTTCTTTTTGGTATGCACCTTCTAAGCAACGTCATCAGCATTCTTTACAACATTGGAACAAGTAAAAGGCTTATTTATAACGCTGTGCGCATGCATTATTCGCCATATTGGAAAGCATAAGAAACCCAATTAGCCGCGGGCGTCATCTTTGGTCTACTACATTGAAAATAATATAGTTGTTTTTCATTGAGGACAGTAGAAAGATATAAATCGCCTGACAAGTTTTTATTTTTTCACGAAAATACCGCGGGTATGCGCCAACTGAAAATGATAAATCACTGTAGCTGAAACGTATTATTAATACGTCACGATTCTGATCACGCCACATCTGTTTTCGGGACAGGGAGAACTGTGATGGGACTCGATTCCTTGACATTCCATTGCCGAATAGTCACGCGTGAGCATTGACATACAAGATTGTCAGACAGGCCATTATGTTATTTATAAAATTACACTAGACTCGCTACATAATTAGTACATATTATATAATTATGATTTTCAAGCTTAGATTAAATACTATAAATAATTATGTATTTGTATAAGTCTAAGCAACACCTTTATCTAATTATAAAATTAATTGATACCATATTTCACAATCACCTAAATAATTATATTATTTACGAACCATTTTTAGTGTTGAGGGATGATGTCGCTCCTGTCATCCTATTATTTCCAGGAAAGATTGTTTGTTGTGTTTTATTTTTAAGTATTAGCTGTCAATCAGATGTCGATTTCGTTTCGTTTGACATTCAGTGTTGAAAGTAGTGTAAAATTCGAAAATACATAAACGAAACAACCTTTAGCCTAAATCGGTGATATTGTCATCAATAAAATAAATAAATGTCATTTTTTGTTTTATCTAGGAAAGATTACTATTGTCTGTTTTGCCAAAACACGTGGCGGATGAAATGATCAGAGACTGGGGTGCTATGGAAGATACACAGTTTAGAAAAATTTATATGGGAAGATATGAAAATGTCAGGTAATTATATAGTTGCATATGGGCGATGGATGGGGGTGGGGGATATAAGAGCAGTATATATTCGGTTGGTAAACATCCCTTCAATCAGGTTCGGACAACAACAAACGATATAATTTCTTCGTTTGAAACTTGAATCTTTTTTAGTTTGAAAATTAAACATTTCTAAATTTTAAGATGTGATTTTATACATAAGGATATAATCGTACGTTAAAAGGTGTAATTCTACATACATGGTAAAAGTCTCATCTACATGTGAAGATTCAATTCTACATTTGAAGATTCAGTTCTACATTGGATTGATATATGTGATTCTGGCAGAGGAAACTCTAGGATAACTCTATAAAGAAGATTAAAATAATCCAATAAAAACAACCTTGTCATTTAGAGCGACCGATATATAATTTTGTTTGATGTATATGACGAAGCAGTTATTTTTTATAATTATATCTTAATAAGAGCCGCCTGCATGGAACATCAAATCGATTTTTAGTATCCCCAATTAATTACTACACGAATAAACCTACGTGCAAATTAAGATGGTTATACCTATAATGGTATACAATTATAGATTATTTGACCAGGGTCAAGGACAGGTTACTAGTGTATAACTAAATATACTGTACAATTGTTGTTTTTTTATATCTAAAATTAGTCAAATGTGTTTAAATACCATTACGTAAGGAATTTGAGGATATAATTATAGGCGTTGGCTCAGTGAGTAAGACGTTCACTCACTTAGAGGTTCATTGTTCAATCCTGGTGATAGCCGAGAAAGTTCATCGTTATTTTCAGGCATAGTTCCCCCTTGTCAATGGTGCAGGACGGAGGACCTGGCCAGGGACAATATAGTCGTTCGGATGGGACGAAAAACCGAGGTCCCATGTAAACATTGGCGTGCAGGTAAAATAACCCCTGGTTGTTAGAATTCGATATAAAACTGGGTCGTAGTGCCGCTGTCCTGGCAAAATTTCCCTCTTTGCGCACTGTATGGTGTATGTCCGTCTTCATTAGCCAAGTCGGAGCATTTTATAATTAGGCGTAATGACATTTTCCAGATCAGATATTTAATAAGATGTGCAAACGTAGCAGCATAGGATATTGAAAGGGGGCTAAAACGTTTCATTTGTTCCACAAAAAAATTAACCAGTTTCATTTACTTAAACATGCATTATGCAAGAGCTAATTCGGCCTATTGCAGGTTTTTCTTTATACCTGCGTGCTATCTAAATTATTAATCAGACATTAATTAACTCATCAAGATCATACTCAGCTCCCGATGCCATCGTTAGCCTGCGCTATTTAGTGGATTTGTATACGTATTGTGATGGATGATTTAACTTAAAATGGATAATCGAGACCTAATTTGTTTATTATCGTACCAACATTAGTAATGACTTCCGAGATTAGCCTAAGATTGAACAGCTGATATCTAGGTTCAGAGTGAAGCGATTTGACTGAAATTCTCCGCATAGTCTGCTTTCATTATCTAGTTTTTAACTATTATAGCGAAAACTGTCAGCTCTTTATCTAATTTCCCATAGTGCCTCTTTAATAATTTACTTAAGATTTAGATAATGGTCGTTCATTCTATAATAGTTTTAAAAAAAAATAACGAAAAAAGAATACAGTGTAAATTTCAGACAAATTACTTTATTGTGAACGAAGTTATAAATGTTTGAAGTTTTAGCTAAACAATCCCATGGTCTGTAGAGTTGATCATGAGCTTGCCGTGTGCATGAATAATAATTTATAACATTTGAAGCTAGAGAAAAGGACCTGCAGGTCCTCTTCTCTAGCGCAGGCGCGGATCCAGAGGGGGTGGGGGTGGGGTCCAGGGGGTCGCCCCCCCCCCCTTCTCGAGCTTGAAAATTTGAAGGGTCCGAGAAACTTAAATCTAAAAGCCCGAATCTGACCCAAAAATTGCGAGTTTGTATACATTGAGTTGAGTAATGACTTTCATTCCATTGTGGGAAAAAACAAATAGTCACACACAGCTCTGGCAGTTAGCCAAAAACGTCGACAGCATAAGCTGCCATCGGGACCAATTGACCCCACGGCAAATCGCCTATTGACGACGGAAATTTTTTAATACCGTACTGTATGAAAATATAAGTTTATTGGAATTTAAAGAGTTTTATTAACGCTGTTCGCCTGTTGACGTTGAATATTGTTGTGTTTGCTTTTTAATTTTATCGGCAGCGTTGATAAGAACGCCTGAGTGCCCTGGTGCTCATCAACGTTAACAGAAAGCTCCAGCTAAATGTCGAGAATATCGTTGGGCAGTTCATCAGAAAAAAGCCACGCCGACTTTTCTCTGCATTGCACAGTTAAAGTGAAGGTCCCACATAATTTTTGAAAGATAAATCTGTTTAATTTTGTGTGAAAATTCCCTGTAAACCTCTACATTTATGATTAAGCCTGTGCAACAATTGCAAGCTATATTATTTATTTTTATGCGCTGAAAGTAAAAACAGTAAACCAAGTGTACAGGCTTGTCGTCTGTGAAATTTTGTGCTCTGGAAAACCCCGACCAACTTTCCTATACTTAAATGGACTGGTTACTCTAATAGTAAATTGATACTTCTAATAAACATTGTTAAGAACAGCCATAATATGGTATCAACATTTTAAGGACATTTTATGCGATTTTATTGGCGATTTTTAGACCTGTAATTTTGGAATTTACCTTCAGGAAATACGTCAGAATGCACCAAATTGAATCTAATTTACCAAATTACAACGCTTAGCGCTACGCCCACCGCAATAAGTTAACCAATTATCCAACCTAGACCCCCCCCCCTGCAAAAAATCCTGCAATAGGAAGATTTAGCTCTTACATAATGCATCTTTTAGTATACTAGGGTGACATTTTATTTCTTTTTTGTTTTACTTCCAGTATTTTATTTGCTGATATTGTTGGTTTTACTGCAATATCGTCATGCTGTACAGCTGCTGAACTTGTTAAGATATTAAACCAACTTTTTGCTAATTTTGATAAATTAGCGCAGGTAAATACGAACACAAAATTAAATGAAGTTTTTTTTTTGTTGTTTTGAATTTCACCTCATTGGTTATCGAACTGCGCCGAACCGTTCTAAATGTAAAAAAAAAAAGAAAAGTCGTGGTAGAGTAGTCTACCAAACTGGTACAAAATAACCATTCAGAATGACCATTGTCTCAAACCTTTGTATGTGAAATAGCTTGTATGTGAAATGAACCCCTCCCACGTGTATGGCGCTATTGCGTGTCGCACATGCAGCTCAGTAGTTCTGTTAAGGCGATAAGTTCTTCATCTGTGAACATACTCTCAAAGTATGACAAATGTCCATGACTATTTATCATATCATAACCTGCATAGGTATTTGCATTTCAATATCCCCTACTTTTTTGGAAGAGTATGTATGATTATAGAATGTGACGCTTCTGTTTCTATTTTTACCACAGAAATTTCATCAGTTAAGAATAAAGATATTAGGTGATTGTTATTATTGTATATGTGGAGCACCGGAACCTAGATCTGATCACGCTGTTTTATCTATACATATGGGACTAGCTATGGTGGATGCCATCAAGTAAGTAGTGTTTTCTATCACCCACAGAACAGATGATACTGTTTGTTAATAAGCGATATTTACGGCGATACCCCCGGGGATAAAAAATGAATGCCTCATTATTTTTCTTCTCTACCACACATCCTCCGCCCGTCTATCTGCGAAATTCGTAGAACCGCATATTGCAGTTGTAGAGCAACAAAAGGCCTATACACACCCAAAGGGAGTATTTGTTGCAGTGTGCCCAATCCCGATTGATTTGTCGTCACCGAAGTTTATTGGCCGGAAGCACACATATTATTATGTCGGGAACAATATGTCGGGCAGCTACACGATAATTTGCTAAAATACCGTTAGTGTACGCAGGCCTTTGAATGACCTTGATAAGAAGTGTTTATCCACACAGGGGCTCTTCCAAGTAAGAAACCCTGACAGTTGGTCACATTATTCTTTTTCTATTTGCAGGGATGTAGTAAAACAAACTAAGAAAGATGTAAACATGAGGGTAGGGATTCACACAGGGGCGGTTCTTGGTGGTGTACTGGGGCAAAAACAGTGGCAATTCGATGTTCTAGGCAAGGAAGTGACGTTGGCCAACCAGATGGAGAGTTCCGGTGTACCAGGGTAAAATATTATATTGGGGTGAAACAGATTGTTTTTAGGCTCTTAGTAACAAGAATTACACTGCAACCAAGTGTAAATAACAAGTCCGTTATATTAACTTGCCACAGAATCATGCTTATGTAAACTACGCTAGTATTGGGTTTGCTTTATTGTGTACACGCATTAGAGTGTATAAACCAATTTCTTTGGCTATGGCCGTTCAGAGTTCGCGTCTACCGCCTGTTGAACATGTACACCTCCACCCGTCCTCCAATTATTCAACTGCTGATCAGTAATCTTTTCAAAATATAGCTATGAATACAAAAGGCACATCTCGTTGTCAGGCGTCCGGCGCTACCTGGTTGTTGAGAGCTGACAGTCATGGCTACCAATAGTCTGTTGACCTTGACCTTATGGTTTGTAAGTTAAAAACGGTTACTTTCGACCGTATAAATGACTTTCAAATCCAAACAAAGACGAAAATGGGATTTTAAGCTGCTATATATATTGTTTTCTTTCTCATCTCTTGTAGAAGAGTCCATGTGTCAAATAAAACCAAAACCTTTCTACAAGATGAGTTTGAGTTGGAACCTGTTGATGGAGGTCAGAGTGATGAAATGATACGATTTAACAACATCACAACGTATTTAGTAAAAAGTGTTTTAATTCCGGTATGGACATTCGTGCCATTCATTATTTTTATAGGTTTTCCACAGGACGGATTATTGAACTGACAATGATACTATCTAGCTGAAACGTTCAATTATGTCACGATTCTGTTCACGTCACATCTTTTTTTCGGAACAGAGAGAATTGTGATGGAGCTCCATTCCTTGACATGCCATTGCCGAATAGTCACGTGTGAGCTTTGGTATATAGGTTTTCCACAGGGCGGCATATTGATGTTTATACCTTAATCCATCGCCGACGTAGGGGGGGGGGGGTGGATGTCCCAATGGGTAGCACGTGTATACACTGTATCATAAGGTCTGTCATTGAGTCAACAGGCGTGGTTTCGATTCCCCGGTTGTACGTGGCAAGGAGTAGGGTCGCCTGTCCATCTCTTGGGTTTTCTCCGGGTCCTCCGGTTTCCCCCCACTGTTGGAGACCCATACCCACAAGCGAATTATTGAAATAAAATTATACCATGTGTTAGTACCGAAATGACATAGTTTGTGTTCAGTATACGTTAACCCATCTCTCTCTCTCTCTCTCTCTCTCTCTCTCTCTCTCTCTCTCTCTCTCTTTCTCGCCGACGCATTTCAGCTATAGGCTATGTATCATTTGGTAAACTACAATGTCATCATGTCCCAGACGTCTAATTAATTTTTTTCCCTGTAGATTTAACAAAAACAATTAGTTTTCTTTAACAATTTAGACGATTAAAACTAAAACAACGTGTGAAATCAATAGAAAGTGATGTACAAATTATTTTACGTTAAGATTGACTGATTTTAATCAAATGATTATTGCACCATGCAAAGAAAGATAACATTTTATCATGTTTTGTCTGAAAATCTGGAATACTATGCCTGAAGAATTTCAACTACCTCGGGCACACAGGATCACTGGTTTGCATACCATCCGAACGACTAGATGAGTTTCTTTGCCAAGGGGAAGCCAGACTGAAAAATTCCGAGCAATTTTCTCGTCCAGCACCAATATTGAACCCGAATCGTGGTTCATCTTTTAATTAAGTTCGTGTTATTTACTGCTCTTGGAAATGACGGTAAAAAGACTGGCATATACAAAATATAATCAATTTTATGCATTTCAGTACAAGGAAAACGACGTGTTAAAAGATAAGAATGGTAAAACAATATTGGATGATGGGGATTCTGGAAAGGTAACTTTTTTAGTTAGAGAGAACCGTGCATGGGTCAGTCTATTTGAAATCAGACCTCACTTTTGTTTTGAAGTAAAGCCTGGAAGCATATTCAGCTTCGTCGTAAATGGTAGGCACGACTAAGCGATACTGTAGAGACACAGGTCAAAGACATATGGATTGATATTCAATAATTACAAAAAAAAGATATATTTATATATCTTTAACTCATGACTTTAGTTTTTACTAGAGGAATCGGGAGAACCCATAGAAAATCTCAGAGATTCAGCATTCGAAATCCGTGCAGAGCTGGTAGTACGTCCTTTCTTTTCATTTTTATTTAGGATTCTGATTGTTCCCGGAATGTTGATTTATTTAACCAAAGATTGGACAAAACTCTACAGAATCGAACGTTTACAAGGTAATTGTCATTTATCATACAAAATCTCTTATAATATTATTAGAAACACGGGCGAAATATTCTGTATATTCGTGCTAATAAGCCCGAGATATTTAAATAGTCTATTCTGGAAAATAACGTCACATCCGATTGCAATTGTTTTAGTTAAAGGTGAATTATGGTTTGCTTGAAAATAATTAATTTAAAACGGCATGGATAATAAATAAGATAGAAAACAAATCAGTGTTTTGATTTGTCTGATTGATTAAAGTATTTTAATACAAAAAAAATCTGTGTGTTTTACTTCAAACAGTTTCTCCCTTTTTGGTATGTCCCCAATAACTTTGAGTTTTGTTGACTCGAAGATGGAAATGATGTACAACGACAAAGCTGAACAGTGGAGTGGTATTATTATGATTGGACTGTGTTCCACCCTAACCTTGACCTTTCTGGCTAAAGTCTGTGTTCTACCAAGGTTTGTAACACATTTTACTGAAAATTGTTCACAGGTGGCTGGCTATACAGGACAATAAATAACTGGTCCAGTTTATGGGAGTGATTCAGGATCGTTGGGTGTGGAGTAATGAATGCTCCAAGATTGAAAAAGAAATTATCACATTGGTGTCTAGGTACCGCACCTGGTCGGTCTATAAAACGATCCCATCTTGAATTATGTCAGTGATATGCTTGTCAAGCATAAGCCATTTGGGTTCCATCTTGACCTTTCCTTGGTAATGATGGCGCAATAATTGGCATGTCACGATTCTACGGGAAGTGTTACGTGTGATTGTTGTTGAGTCCCGATCTTCTGTAAATATGACAATAATACCACCAACCCACTACACACGCACCCCTACCGGGATTTACTAATTTACATATATACTTAGGAGAAGGCGAAGATAAGCACAAAAATGATTATTTTCAGCTTATACTTTGGTAACTTAAAATTGATAGGCTGGCCTGCATTCTAAGTTAATCGGTTGTATCGATTGCTACGTTTCGACAATGGATAATTCAAATCTTCAATAAATATGATTCTTTGTTTTCCAGAAGTTTGTTGGTAATCCTTTGTTTTATTGTTGGTGTCATTCTCTTAGCTTTAATGACTTTTATCACGTGGCCTCGATTTATGACAAAGGTAGGCCAATATACAAATTTCTTTTATTATCTTCGCACATGGTTCTGGTTTTTCACAATATCCTTCAGCTCGTACAGACACTCTCATAAATCCCTGGGGACTGGCATTAAAGTGGATCTGGGGGTTTGGAAAGAATGTATACATTACAACAGCAATGCTACATTAAGACAAGGGACTAGTGCGCTAAGACACTAACCATCTCCTCGCGACTCCCTCAAGTGCTAAAAAAGGTCAAATTCGTAAAATAAAAAACAACTAGAAACACAGAAAACAAAAGCATGAACAAGGCAATAAACACGGACATTGTAAGTAATATAGTTCTGTAAATTCTAGTGAATGGATTGGGAGACTTTTCTACAATGATAACATGGATAATTTGAGAATGATTTTTAAACATTAATTCATTGTTAATTGATATTCTATGATAACTGATGTGCTTGTGTATGTTTATGCTCATCTTGTGTAGGTATGAAAACTATTAATATTATGTTTACTGTTTTCTTTCATTTATCAGGACAAACATGTAGTTGAAAGGTTTATATATTGTATGACTAACCACCGTATTTTACGTCTATTATGGACGATTGTTGCTGTTATTATCTTATTTTTATCTGACGTTAGCGGCATGGTAAGTATTGGATCTTTCTCTCGCATTTTAATTTCTTTAGTCTGTTACCTAGAACTATAATGTCCTTATAATGTGCGAAACTTAGGCTGTGTGGAGAAAAGACACGAACACGAAGCTAGTTGTCTGCCATTTTAATACCTGCATCGATGATTTTAGTCGACAACACTAAGCTGGGGCCTATACTGAGAAGTATTTATTCCGCTTTCATTTAATGAAATTGAAAATGTTTATTTAGTCTTTGTGTGTATGAAAGATGGCATACGGATTTTTTTTTTAAAAATCAATATTCGGTGGTGGTGGTGGTAGTAAGAGAGTATTCCCAGGGCAGCAACTAGGTCAGAGCAACGACGGGGGGCGGAAAGTGTTCTCAGGGGTGCTGTAAAATTGACGGACAATGTATATCTATTTTTTCATGGTCGAAAAAATTTTCATGGGGGGGGGGGGGGGCAAACTTTTTGCAGAGGCAAAGCCCCCTTAGTTACTGGCCTGAGTGTTCCCATGAAGTTTTCAGGCCTTCTGTAAAAGTCTTATCCTTTCTGTTGTTTTTCTATTTCAGTTCGGATGTGAAACTGGTTCTACGTACAACGTATCTGGTTCCAATTTAGAACCAAATGACGTCAGATGTCAGAATCCAGTATATTTTATCCACTCTACTAGCCTCATTCTCATAGCAATCACGTGCCTTATGCAAATTAGTCATATAATTAAGACTATGTTGATATTAACTGTTGCTCTACTTGTGTGTATATTTGAATGTTTGATATTTGCCGATATTTTTGACAGTTATGATAACAACGTGTATATTAATTCTGCGTAAGTATTTATATACCATAGAAGCAATGTGGGATGTGCTATGACTAACTAGATGGTACTTTTAAAGCCTTGCGGTTTATATTTTTGGACCAGGAAAATGCTTAAGACTCCGCCAATTGATGCAAGATTGATCGACACGAAACTTGGACGATTGTGTATTAATTGGCGGACTTGGATTTTTGATATGGCGTCACAATTCCAAGATGGCTGTGATGACGTCATGCTCGGTTCTTGGTTCATAATATATTACGCTCGTAGTTGTTTAAAGTTAATATATTTTGTTGGTAACACAGAGCTATTACGAGATCCCTGCGGGAAAAAGGGGGTAAAATGTTCATTCTGGCATATATATTCTAACGTCGACCTAATATGATTTCTGAGAGCTGAATTAATTGATGTTACTCTTACACGATAGGAAAATATTAAAGTTCATTGGAGACTTAAGGGCGCTGATATGCTTATCAAGGGCCCGAGAAGCCCATTTATGTTGATATTTCCTTCGGATTACACCTGTAGGGGCGAACCAAGAAGAACGCCGGAATGTTTTATTGCATGTCAACAATTATTAAAGATAGCTGTTCTGAATAATATATTTTATATATATATATATATACTCTTCAAAAAAAGTAGAGGATATTCAGAAAAAATACAAAACTGCGGAAATGGACTGCTGATTTTATTAGAGGTAACAAGTGTATGTTAATAACAGGCCAATTGCCTACACATGAACATAAACAGTTCATATGGGCGGCTTATTTGACGGCCCCATTTCACTGTCAAACGTGAAAATGGACGTTTTTGATTTTTGTCTCAATAATGAGTAATTGCTCCACCAATCCTCAGACATTCAGCAATTCGTCGTGGCATGCTCCTAATCAACCGTCCAATCACGATTTGAGGCAATCTGACCCACTCCTCTTGCAGTGCCACGGCCAATTCTTGCAGTGTTGTCGGTTGACCTTGACGTCGACGAACACGTTTCCCGATCAAATTAAACGTAACACACTAAAGCAAAGATACGCTAAACAGTAAATCTTATGCAAGAACCGATAGGAAAGCAAACATGGACAGATAAACCAGCACGCGGCAGTTTTCGTCAACCCTTCCTTGAAGTGTCAAATTTGACAATGAACCCCTCCCACGTGTATGGCACATGCAGCTCAGTGGTTCTGTTGGGGCGATAAGTTCTTCATCTGTGAACATACTCCCAAAGCATGTCAAGTGTCCCTGACTAATTATCATATCACAACCTCCATAGGTATTTGCATTTTAATATCCCCTACATTTTTTGAAGAGTATATATTAGTTGACCAGATAACTTTTGCATAATGATTATATTTCTTCCGTTTCTTTATTCAAATAGCTATTTTCCTACCAAATATAATTCGCTAGCAGTCTTGGTGTTTATGTCGCTGATTCTTGTGTTCATTTCTAGGCAGGTTCGTATAAATTTTGTTGGGTTTTTTTTAGTTGAAGTGAGGGGAGACGGGAAATAGTGTTGTGGAGATAATACATGCCTGCAACCCGAATACACACGTAACACCGCATGCAAAATCAAAAATTTAAAGTGAAGAAAATCAAATGAAATGAAATGTGGTTTAACTTCGTACTGTTCTGCTCCAGTTGGGCTAATGAAAACTGGCATACACCATACAGTGTGCTATGAGGGACTATAGCCTACACTTATATCGAATTCCAACTTCTAAGGAATCTTTTACGTGCACGCCAGTGTATACACGGGACCTCGATTTTTCGTCCCATCAGAACGACTTGACAGCTGTCCTTAGACCCTCCTTCCTGCACCACTGGCAAGGGGAAACCACGTCGGAAAACCCCGATGAACTTTGTCAGTCAATGCAGGGATCAAACACGTGACCCCCCGGCTAGCGAGTCAGCGTCTTACCCACTTTAATTAGCCACCGTGGCTCCCGAAAGTGAAGAAAAAACCGTATAGTTTCGTCTGATATACATAAACCCTGTGACAAGCTATATATCGGCTGTGCGTGGCGGAATTAGCATATAGATCTAATCAAATCAGCTTTTTCGGCGTGGAGGGGTGAGGTGGGGAGTACAGGAATGACCCAATAGGCATACAAATTTGAGTGAACGGTCAGGATGCTTGATAGATGGTATGTGTATGTGCCTGCACAAATTTAACTTCGGTTTTGCTTTTTGCTGTTGTGAAGAAGTGAAGTGCACAATACGTTACCTTTTTTTTAACGTTTAATCATCTTATAGTTTGTTTTATATATTTATAAATATTTTAACAAGATGGATAAAATCTACAGACGTCTGTTTTTTTGGAAAGTCGAGTCTACCAAACAGAAAGAGGAAGTGACATTGTTGAGAGCGAAGAACGAGGCTCTTATATACAATATTCTACCTACGCATGTGGCGAAAGATTTCATTGGACAACTCAGATGTGACGAGGTGAGTTTTCATCTATTTAAAATTAGTTGCTGATATCATGATCGAAATTCCTCCTGGTTGGTTGGATGGTCGAATAGAGCGGGAGCCCAGGGGGTTAACCTAGCTGAAAAGTGTACCAATTTTCTCCTATATGGTATCAATGTATGTATATCTGGTATCATCAGAATGTAAGTCTGCCTAATCTAATCTAGCCTAGCTTTGGTCTGGAAATTAGATTTTCATTTGGTACACTTTTGAGCTAATCTAGCCTAGTTGGGGGCCATGGCATTTAGGGCGTGGAATACCACACCCACCACCAGAAACCCGGCAGACTTACATTCTGATGATACCAGATATACATACATTGATACCATATAGGAGAAAATTGGTACATTTTTCAGCTAGGTTGACCCGCTGGGCTCCCGGTCTACTGGAAAACGACCCCCGTCACCCACCGTACGTTAAAACTTACATGTAATCTAACATGACGTAATAATTAGAAGGATTACCCTCTTAATTTTAAAAGCCTTTTTATTTTGACAGGAATTATACAGTCATTCGTATGGTCATGTTGGTGTTATGTTCGCCTCATGTCCAAACTTTCACGATTTCTATAACGAGAGTTCGATTAATAATAATGGACTGGAGTGTCTCAGATTTTTAAATGAAATCATTTCAGATTACGACGAGGTAAGTTTCATTATTTTGACTCGAACAAAAATGACGTTACTGATACCACTTCTCCTCAACATACAGTCGCTCGGGTGGGACGAAAAATCGAGGTCACGTGTACACATTGGCGTGCACGTAAAAAAAAACCTTGACAGTTGGAATTGGATTTTAGCCGAATTTGTAATAAGAATCCAATAAAGATTGTTGTGTCTTTTTACCATATTGACTAATATTATGTGGTATTTAATTTAATTTGAAATGCAAATCCAAAAACGTGGTGTCGGGTTTGCTAATGCACTGGACACATTAGCCGAATCGTTCGGCCGAATCGATCGGCCGAATCAATCGGCGCCGAATTTTATTCGGCCGAATGGGTGGACACACTAGCCGAATGCTTCGCCCGATTCAACCTGTCGATTGCATCACCTTTCACGTCACATGATTAAACATGGCGGCGTCTATGTCTTCAATCTATCACGTGACTTCTCGATATGAGTGGTGATTGGCTAATGAATTCTATATTCGGCCGAATGCTTCGGCGAAGCGGACACACCAGGCGAATATAATTCGGCCGAATATATCAAACCTGTTTGATTCGGGCGAATCATTCGGCCGAATGACAGTGGACACACTAGGCGAATTTCGACGCCGATTGATTCGGCTGAACGATTCGCCCGAATCATTCGGCTAGTGTGTCCACCGCTTTACTCTTTAAATGGCACCTGGTGTTGGTAACCATTTCTCTTTTGATGAGTTCACATAGCGAATCGATTTTTATTTCACTTTTGCTTTTTTACCACTAAACTGGGTCTGGCGACAGTCTTCTATCGAGTACCTTCGGCATCTGAAATAGTGATCGAAACCGACACCCCGGTTAGCTATAGGTGTAAGGTGTGATGATTGTTGTGCACGAGACAGGATATCCTCTCTGTTTTGTGAATAAGAGTGGGATAGGTGTCATATGTGTACTCGGGCAACTACTGTCTCCCGTTGTCCAACCAATTATTAGAAGAATCCCTAATTTAGCTGATCAGGCAAGGGGTCAAGATTTTGTAACGGCGTTTCAGTTAGGTTTAGTAAATGCCACAGGAAGCGCCAAACCAACCGATGGAAGGTCGCGAGTAAACCCGTTGGAGGTTTGGGGAGTCAGTATTTTAATACATAAGTTTGTTTATACTTATCAGTTATTATCTCAGCCGAGGTTTTCAAGTGTATGTAAAATAAAGACGGTAGGACCAACATATATGGCAGCTAGTGGAATGACAGATCTCATATGTAGTCAGGTAAGTAATCAGACTAGGTTTAATCATTATACAACAATATGAGATTTTGTCGGGTACTTCTCACCATAACATTTTCTTTGGTCTTTTCTATAGACAATTTCTGGCTTATCGCAGCAGAAGGCCGATTTATGTCCATTAATTAATTTTGATCTTGCTGGACGGAGGGGCTGACAAGGAAAGCTGTCTAGTCGTTCGGATGGGACGAAAAACCGAGGTCCCGTGTACACATTGGCGTGCACGTAAAAGATCCCTTGGCAGTTGGAATTCGATATAAGAGTAGGCCGTAGTGCCGCTGTCCGGGCAAAATTTCCCTCATAGCACACTGTATGGCGTATGCCCGTCTTCATTATCCCAGTTCGGAGCAAAACAGTACGACGTTAAACCCCATTTCATTTCATTTGATCTTGCTAATATTGTCAAAGTAAGATGACGTGGAACCTGAACTCTGATCATTTTCAATTTATATTACCAGACACAAGATATAAAAGAACGGTGGAAACATTTAGATGATTTGGTTCAGTTTGCTTTAACCATGAAAGAAACACTAGCAAAAATTAATGAACAATCTTTCAACCATTTTGTTTTAAGAATAGGTGAGTAAAACAATTAAATTCCATATCTCTTAACTTAAGGCTTGTGCGCACTGCACGGTTATATTCTTCTTTCAAAACTCCCGTCACCAATTTTTTTTTATATAGTTATTTGTTCTGATAGTTAGATTTGGGTTTCAAAAACCAAAGTTACGTGTTAACAAGTTGATGTCGTGGCAGTGACCATTAGTCGAGTGACCAGCTATACAGTATTGTTTACATGCAGTAGTACAATTGAAAGAGGTGGATTAGGGAGTTCTAAAAGAAGTACCCCTATCCTCACCATGCACGAGACCTGTTACACTACCTATTGCAATCTTTTGGTCTCCCTTTAAAAATATTCGACGGTCCTGTCTAATATATTTGCACACGTACATACACGTGTACTGGCGAGTTTCATATTATGCCAATAATTTCACCAACTTATTGCTCATCATTCTGAAAACTTATTACACTGTCTAGAGACATGCGTATTCAGAATCCATGTGAAACCTACGAGGTTGGACAGGGGATCCTGCTCCTTGTCACGTACAAACTGAGAATTGAAACTATTGACTTAATGACAAAAGCACACGCGTCAGACTATTCGCCCCGCCCCGCCCTCTCACCCTTGTGATTAAGGAAACGTTCTGTTTATTAATTTTTAATTTAGGTATAAACCACGGGCCAGTAATTGCCGGTGTTATTGGAGCTAGGAAACCACATTATGATATCTGGGGTAATACAGTAAATGTAGCAAGTAGAATGGAATCAACTGGTCATCCAAATAAAATACAAGTAAGACTAGGTCACCATACACTAACCGATTATTTGTCCTTTTTACCAGGACGTTAAATAATTTAACCATTTTGTCTACACCTGATGCACCGTATTTTGGAGCCACGGTGGCTAAGTGGGTAAAACGCTGGCTCGCGTGTTCGCTCCCAGTGTTGGTCGAGAAAGTTCATCCAGATTTTCCGGCGTGGTTTCCCCTTTTCAGTGTTGCAGGACGGAGGGTCTGACAAGGACAGGTGTCTAGTCGTTCGGATTGGACGCAAAAACGAGGTTCCGTGTATACATTGACGTGCACGTAAAAGATCCCTTGGCAGTTGGAAGGGATACAAGAGTAGGTCGTAGTTCCGCTGTCCGGGCAAAATTTCCCTCATAGCACAACGTATGGCGTATGCCCGTCTTCATTATCCCAGTTGAAGTAGACAGTAGACGTTAAACCCCATTTCATTTTATCCTTTTCCATTTCATTTAATGTCAGGTATTTTCTTTGACTGTCCTTAAATAGATTGATTAACCACAGTACAATGTCTTTACTAAGTCTGTGTTCAATGTCCTTGTGGCAATAATTGTTTTTGCCAATTACAGTGGCTCACATCAAACTTCAAAGAAAACAGATAACCGACAAAAAAGTGATTAGATCTGAAATGATTAGACCAGTCGGAGCGCAATAAAGATACAAATTTAATTAGACTGACATTTGGTGACACTTTACGAAAATTAATTTTACCAATTTAATTTTCTTACAGATAGTGGAGGAAACAAAAGATATTTTAGAGAATTTTGGTTACTCGTTCCAAACACGTGGCTTAATCTCGGTCAAGGGTAAAGGAGATCTAATGACATATTTTATTAAAGAAGAACCTAAACAAACGGGAGTTATACCCAATCAGATTATTTGAAACCAAGCAATATATAATAACGCCCAATCAAACTATTTATAACAGAGGCTACTCAAATCGTAAAACACAGTGCTGCTACCCAAAGATAGTAGGTAGCCAGTCAACAAAATATCTGACCAATGCAGTCCATAAGATTGTCGCATTTTCATTTGTTTGGGAGTAACGGGGGGAATACTTTTACAAAAGACGGGCAACAACAGATGAAGTAACTATCAGCAATAAATGTTATAAAAAAGGCTCAAACATAGACAAAACATGTTCCGGTTATCAGATTTTGTCCTGGAGATTTTTCAAAGTGATCAAAGCAAATGACAATCGGAAATTGTTGTAATTGTATAGACATCTGAATCTTGATCTCACAATGTGTATAAATTAATGAGATAATAATTTTAACATCACTTTATTTGAATTGTGGGTTTGTTTGTGATTTCTGCGTATTATGTCTTGTCCTTATATTTGTTTTTGTGTAAATTATGTGTGGTGCAGTACCCCTGCACTTACTATTAGAATGTCTACAACTGTATATTGCTATCCAATCAAATTGTCTTTAACAACTATTGCAGTCTAACAGAAAACACGCCTACGCAAGAAATTGATGGGGGGAATTTACGTCCGCGATATGGACAGTCTGTGTGTTAAAATTGATACACTGGTTAACATTACAAACTGATTCAGATAATGATTAGCCAAGGTTGTTCAATGATGAACCCATCTAGACCAGACAACGCGGACCAGCACACCACCATACCTATCACTTGTTTCCAGGAGCAACGCGTTAAAATTGGATTGGGAATGGTACTGAAGGGGTCCATCATATACTGAGCGCCATGGAAAACGCATCACTTAGTTTTTCGTATAAAAAAATGATCCTGTAAACATATCTTATTTATTTTTCTTCTTATTGTGAACAATATTCAAATGGGAACACATCAATAACAACACATTTGTACACTTATGGATGTTTAATCTGTAATCAACGGTACAAAGTCAGAGGGGTCAAAACCAAAAGTACGACACAGATGTCAGTAGCGCGTGTGTCCTCCACAGGCTCTTACGCACGCTGTGCAGCGACGTCGCATGGAATTAACCAATGTTTGAAAGAAGGCGTGGGGCAAATTGTTCCATTCTTGGACAAGAGCAGCGTCTAAAGCACCAATGGTGTGCATCTGTGGTCCCCGATACAGACGGCGTCCAATCTCATCCCAGACATGTTCTATCGGTGCCATGTCCGGAGGCATTGATGTTGTTAGCAGCCAGGTAGTCTATACTAAAACGGGCGGTATGCGAACGTGCATTATCCTGTTGGAAGTGCTGAAGTTGTGGGTGAGCTCGAAACAACAATTGGTTGCAAGACATCATCACGGTAGGCTACAGCATTAACGCGACCCCTGCAAATATGTAGGGCGGTCCGGTGATGAAATGTGAAGCCTCCCCACACCATTACACTTCCCCCACCCCATCGATTCGTTTCGAAGACGCAGCAGTCTGCAAGACGTTCCCTGAGACGTCTCCACACACGTTGACGGCCATCAGCGTGATAAAGATGAAAGCGACTCTCATCACTGAAGAGCACACTTTGCCAGTCTACTCTTCTCCATGTCTGGTGTCCTTGAGCCCATATCAAACGCCGCTGACCGTGATGATCCCTGAGGATAGCTCCAACATAAGGTCGTCGTGCACGGAGTCCTACTTCTCTTAGACGACGTCTTACGGTGTTGGCACTTACGACTGCTGCACCTGTTCGAGTCGCTGGGCGGAATCTGTCACGCAGATGAGTGACCCGGATGTAGCGGTCTTGAGTCTGGGTTGTAACGTTGACGGTCACGTGTTGATCCAGTAACTCGAACACGTTCCACCAACCTTACAATAGTGGACTGATGACAATTGAAGTGTCTGGCAATAGCACGTGTAGACATGCCAGCCCTGGACATTCCCATGGCTTCATTCCGTTGATTTTCAGTAAGTCTCGGCATCTCTAGCTCGATTCCTTCACACGTCCAACAACAAATTACGACAGATTGACGTTTCACGGTTCATGTACTGCACATTAAGTTGAAAACATGCTTTTAAAGGGCTCACACACAATGCTGCACGTGAATATTGGGTTTTTCATGTGCATCTCGTGCAATTTTTTTTTTTGTGCATACGGGCAGATATTTTTTTTGCGTTTGGGGGCATTGTGAGAAACAATAGTTCATAGTATTGCATAATATTATACATACAAAACCACCTAGTAATAAAATATTTGAGAATAAAAGTGATGCGTTTTCCATGGCGCTCAGTATATATTGCGAGGTTGGGGTTTTCGTCCTCTCATTTTGTTCTACGTTGAACCTGCCATTAATAAGACTACTGGCTCTTCTGCTTGACAAGGTTGTTCACTCGGCAAACCTCGGCAGATTCCGGAACCCTACATCTAGCCTTTGTTGTTGGACACCGGCATTAACCCTACGACTTTCAATTTTACCCCCTCCGACCACTCACGTGATGTGTGACGACGGAATGCATGTAAAACAGTGACCACACGTTACATACATATTATGACTTCTGATATAAATTTTATTATATTGTATGTAGAATTTCAAAACATTATTTAAAATTACAAATTGCAATGATCCGGATTCAATATTTAATTGATGTGTCGTGACCCAGCAATACAATTGTGTTGCCTTGGTAAATCACAATTATAGGCTTTAATAAGGTGCAGTGGAATTGTTTAACCAGGAACAGAGTGCACTGACTCAAATTCTTTGACCTTATGGTAACATGTTATACAGACATATCCAATGAAATTGTTTGAAAAAAAACCACTTGTGGCGATATCCAATTAAACTGTTTTTTTTAAATATGTTGAGTTTTGTTATTGTGCTGCTATTTGGTAATGTTGAAACATAGAATAATGAGGAACATGGAATTAAGAAGTCCAATGTTGCTGGGAAAAGGGATGGAAATGTGTTAGTAAATCGCCCTGCCCCCCCCCCCCCCCCACACACACACTTTCTCCAAATACAACAATTTACCCCCTTCATTTAAAAGCGTTAACATTTAGTCTGTTGTTATGCTATCAGTCTATCAAGTATAAACATCAAAACTGTTCCACCATCGAAATGCCTAATGACATGACGGTCCACAATACGAATGATGCTGATTCCTTTGGTAAGATATATGCACAAATGATTTCCAATTTTTTATTTTCAAAAAACAAAACGAACACTGGTGTATTCGCCAATAATTTGCGTGTACATAATACATTAATATAATAATAAAATATTGAAATATGATATAATTTTAATATATCATAAAAACTCCTTAATGGCAACATGTACAGTATTTGATGAAAATATCAATAGAATGAAAATGTACATTACTAAGATATAAATAAACTTAACAAACAATGGCCTTAATTTAACAGTTATCGGATACAACGTATATTGATTTGGGTGTATGTAGTATTAGGATATGTGACATATATGACTAATTCCTACGTGTTGTCGGCCGACATCAAGGAGATTGAAACGCCCGACAATGGAGAAATCACGAGGTAAACTCGTAGATTAAAATTATAATCACTCTTATTGGATTGATGAATAGTCTGTTTAAGATTAGATTGATGAATTGTCCGACAAAGGATTAAGTCAATCAATCAAGGCAGATTAAGTAGTTAATCAAGGTAGGTGTATGTAGAGACGGAATAACACGATAAATACGTTGATCACTTAATTACCTAATCAATCCAGCGTATTATCAACGATAATCGGGTTGAGTGGTAGTTATACACTCAGTAAACTATTATTAATTTTGGAATTTTAAATATTATTCACCATGTCTTGATGTCCGATTGGGCACATTCCCGGTCGGACAGTTTTGGGCGTTTGGAAAATAGCGTCGGACAAGTCCGGAATATACGGGCTAAATCCCATCCCAGGTTGAAATCATGTTTCGACTGAAGAATAAGAAGCCACAAAGAAAATATCTATGAAGTCTTCCAAATTTAAAGTGACAGGTAAATGAGTTAAGAGCCAATATGACAGAAGACTAATAAGCATTTTCCTTTACACATACATGTGTTTCAAAAGTCAACAATATCTACTTCCTTAATGTAAAATCTGTTATTATTACTATGTATTTAAACATATGTGAGTATATAAAAACTTCAAACTTGTATGAAAAATATAGCATAATTATTACTACATTTGTCAAAGAGAGACAGCAGCGGGAAATCAATAGACAGTAGACAATGTAAAATTAAGTTTGAACTGGTTGATTTAAATAACTCTTGGACCAATATCTTTATTCTGGCATATTGGGGCTTTAACAAAATTGTGGCCTGAAAATATTTTTTTAACCTCATGGATAATCATCAGTTATCCTTCAAACAATTGCAAGAAATTCAAGATGGCAGTGGGAAATTACTTGAAAGTAATGTGAAATTTCAATGGTCACAACCTGATCAATTTTAAAAATTTTGTAATACATCTTAAGGTAAAATTACTTTTTATTGGTATATTCTGAAAGTCTATATTATGTGCGGTTAACTCTGAAATATGGGGACTTTAATAAGTTATTAAATCAGTACTTCAACATGTTTGGATACAATCCTAACATTAGTCAATTTGACTATTTACACAATCACAATAAACAATAATATAACATATTGTACAAAACAAATGTTTACAAATTTACCGAACATATACTGGTATTTAAAGACATGAACATGGTTGATATCCCCTACCCTTCCCAAATAACCCAACACTATCCACTTTCTTCAGTTCAATCCCCATTAGTTGTCTTTATTAAATGTTCTCCTTTCTTAATAAGTGGAGATTCTTTATCAACTAATAATTACTAGCCTAGATTTTCTTCATTTAGCATTCAAACATATTCAAGCCCACCACACACAAGACATATTCAAGCAGATTTCTATTCTCAATTTGTTGAACTAGTTAGTTCTCTTAAATCAGATTAATCTGTGGATCAAGCTCAGTATTTAACACTTATTCTGGTATGCCGGGACTTAAGTTTACAATTTATTGTAAGAGATTTCAGTTTTAACCAATAAAAGCCCAGGAGTCCTGTGTCACAGAGTTCACAAATTAAATGTTTGATTTACGTGTAGTCTTAAGTGAGCTTTGTGAAACATGACCAAGATCTAATAATTTTGTTCCATTTTAATATGAAAGGAACATAAACAATATGAGCAACTCTAAAATACCCGAAACTCAATAAAATCAGTCCAATATTTTCTTGTAATGAACAGTTGGTTGAATCAGATGAAAAATAGATTTGTGTGAAGTGGACCTCACTATCATAAAAGCTTGTAACTAACAAAATATATAAAATGACCTCTGATATATATAATTTATAAATATTAATAACATCATAATTCATCATGCTCTAATACTGTTCCTGTATTTGGGTCTGGAGCAGGTTTTACAAAAATACCTTCAGCTGCCTGCCAGTAATTCAAATTATTTGGTGATGGATGAGCACTTATTTCCCTTTGTCCATTTATAGGTCGACCAAAGGTATCACCACTCACATGTAAGTAACTGAAAGTATAAAAGATTAGGGACTCATTATTAAACACCAAGCATGAACAAACCTGTGACAAATGGACAACACAGTAAAATAGTGTGTCTGATACAGGGATATGGAATAGTTAAAACATCCACTGGACACTGAACAGGGCATTTACAGACTCGCACATGGCTCAAAGAGACACAAGAGTCAGAAAATCAAATCAAATACAACTAAGTATAAACTTAAATTCATATATAGATACATGTAATGGGCATCATGATCTACAGCAACCAAAAATCCTAGTGTGAGAATTTAAAGACAAAGAAAGAGTAAATTTTGATAGGAGAGGAGAACTCAAAACCATTTGTAAAATATTACGACATAAACATAAACTTACTGTTCAGTTACAACATGTCTAAATCTAACTTGATCTTTTCTACTCCAATATCTACCAGAACATGTAACAACCCAATTATCACCTACAAAAATAACAAATTACATTATATACACTTCAAAAAAAGTAAGGGATATTCAGAAACAATACAAAACTGCGGAAATGCATTCTGTTTTTATTAGAGGTAACCAGTGTATGTTAATAACAGGCCAATTGCCAACACATGGACATAAACAGTTCATATGGACCGCTTATATGACGGCCCCATTTCACTCGCAAAGAGATACATTGTCAAAAGTGAAAATGGACATCTTTGATTTTTGTCTTAATAATGAGTAATTGCTCCACCAATCCGCAGACATTCAGCAATTCGTCGTGGCATGCCCCTAATCAACCGTCCAATCACGATTTGGGGCAATCTGTCCCACTCCTCTTGCAGTGCCACAACCAATTCTTGCAGTGTTGTCGGTTGACGTTGACGAACACGTCTCTCGAACAAATTAAACATAACACACTAAAGCAAAGATACGCTAAACAGTAAATTTTATGCAAGAAACGATAGGAAAGAAAACATGGATAGATAAACCAGCACGCAGCATCCTTGAAGTGTCAAATTTGACAATGAACCCCTCTCACGTGTATGGCGCTATTGCGTGTGGCATGTGCAGCTCGGTGGTTCTGTTGGGGCGATAAGTTCTTCATCTGTGAACATACTCCCAAAGCATGTCAAATGTTCATGATTATTTATCATATCACAACCTCCATAGGTATTTGCATTCCAATATCCCCTACTTTTTTTGAAGAGTATATATTAAATGCCTTTGCAATGGGCTTTGTCATTTTGAATTGTGAGAGTTGTCTTTTTTTAGAGTAATTCAAGAGCTGAATTGTTGTTTCTTTGTATTTACTTTTGGCAAGTACAATGTGCACTGGTAAGATTAGATCTGGTTATAAAAACTAACACAAATTTATGTTGCTGTTACCTACCTTCATCTCCATCTCCTTCTTCACCAAATGCACTGACCTCAAGGTTACGTGATAATGGAGACTGAAAATGATGACTGTGAAGATTACGTTTAGTTGAGAGATGTGTTAATCGAATACTCTGTCCACATTTTATCGGTGCTCTGCAACAAAAAACAACAAATTCTTTAGTCATTAGAAAACTCCCAAATTTTACAAATGTAGTAGAATATGGGACTTTATTTCTTGCTATAGAATTTTTCAAACAGCATATTTCTTATACATGTAGGTCAATCAAATATATATTATTTTAATGTAAAGAGTGTTGCTGTTATGTCAGTAAGTGTATTTATGTATTAATAAATGTTCAAGCAGAAAGGAAAGCTCCTAATGTATAGGCCTACAACGTATTTAAGACCATGCACCTTATAATGCCATAGGTCCATGCTAAGACACATAATGAAAGCTGTATGAAATGTTAAATAAGATGCTTTAAGTTAGAATTGATTGATTAGAATAATTTTGGATCAAAATGTTGTTAATAAAGGGGGTACTTTGGATTACCTATGCTCTTAAACTATTACCGGTATATATTTAATTTTTATTCTGGCATCTTCTAGCTTTCAAATGCATCATCGTTTTGTTTATCAGCATCATTTGTTAGCAACAATTAATTTTTTTTACATTAAATTAGTCCATTACCAAGATATAGATATTATCAGATACATAAGCACACTAATAATGTGTTAGCTACATCAACCTGGGGTTGGGTAATGCGAAGGGACACAAATAACTATATCATCCAAATTTCTACTTACCCTCTGGTACAAGTAGCACCAGTTTTAGGTTGAACTTGCCAGTAACTATTATGATCATCTGATGAATCAACTCCGGTCACAGACTAAAATATAAATTAATATGGATGATCATTATCATTATTTATCATACACTTCATTATGATGATTTACTTTAAAAAAGGGAGATAATCACCCTTCGGATAAAAGTTTGCAGTAAAACTGGGCTTGTTAAAATATATAGATTACTGAATATAAAATGAATGAAATAACACTCTGCTGATCTAAAGCAGAAAACTTCCATTATCAAAGGTGTATGTAATTAAACTAGACATTAAGTTTCATCACTCTCTCTCAATTAGAAGCAGAGTTATTGTGTTCTATCTTAAGTCTAGACCAATCAAATCGCTTATTTCTGCTCAACCTAAGCGGAAAATGCCCATCATTCAACCCAGTCAAGATATTCACATATCAAACATCATCAAGTTTGAAAACTGTACCTCAATTAGAAGCAGCTACAGTTATTGTGCTCTTATGTGTAAGCAGTAAATGCTCATTAACAAATACAATAAAGGCATTCATCTAACGAATAATCACGCCATTCCACCTCAATTAGAACCAAAGTCATCCGTCCCAAAAGGTGTGATGGACTGGACAAACACAAACCTATTTTAATAGTCGCCTGCTTTCTTTGAAAGGCAGGGAACAAAAATATTTTGGATCTACCGGTAATACAGTTACTGGTAGTTACTTACAGTGATTTCATACAATAGTCTTAAATTCATATGGAATGTTTACCTGTTGTCCACTGCCTGAACCATACTTAACATCATGGGAATGTAGTCGAACATCGTGTTGGGAATTGATTAACTTTAATACTGAACCACATGTAACATATTCATAATTCATCTCTGAAATAAACAAAATGATATGGCATGTCACTTATCATAAGTCATTTCACTTTACATTAATGGATGTACAACAAGAGGAGAAAAATTTACACGGCTTCATTACCTTCTGTATGCAACTTCTCAAGCAAGAAGTGGTATCAGGTGTCCTACATGAAAAAAATTAAGATGAATTGCCTCACTACTTATATCCAACTTGTGTAATGATTTGGTGTATGAATGTTGTTTATCATGTTCTGTTTTACCTGTGTCTTCTAGCGTGTCACATCTTCAACTAGCGCAACAAAAATAATTCTAAAATTGTTAACTCATAGAGAAACTGAGTTGGCCTATTGCAAACAAGTATTAGCTGGCATCCTACAAAATGTGTGAAACGTCTATATTTTAGAAGTATATTGACATATCTAACAGGTATATTTTAAGTTATTACTCGGTTAGGTTGCCTAGAGTTATATCGTTATACTGTCAGAATATAAAAGAACATCTAACTTAACACAAAGTTCAATTTTATGGATACACAATTATTGAGTTTAATACTATGAGATTTAATACTATGAGACGTTCCAACAAGGATACTCTCGTTCCAACAAGGATACTCTCGTCTTTATCATAGTATTAAACTCAGCAATTGTGTATCCATTGTACCTTGTGTTAATATGTTCACTTATTAAATGTCTATCAAATAAAGTATACATCTTACTTGTTGGATAATGGATTGGAAATTTTACTGAACAATGCTAAATAAAGATTCCGTCAAACATGATTAGCTATGAGGACCAAGGGGGTAGAGCTAAGTCATATCCTTTGAAACAAATATCGCGACATTTTACAAAATGTCAGTAATTTATTGTTCATCTCTCTGTAACAAAGTTAGACATACTCTCTGAATATTCACTTAACATTTTGTAATCAATATTATCAAAAATTAAGTATAAATATACGCATTATGTAGATAGCCACGAAGACTTGCTAAAAATGTTGGTTTATAGGCTGATTGCTGTTGTTTATTACAATTTAACGTTGAATACATTCAATTTGATATTATGGATAATTATTTAAGTTTATTTACATATGAAGGGGGCATAAAATGGTTAAAACATAAAAAAGTTATTGTTTGTCTATTGGGTGTACATGTTTGTGCGTTTTTATAGTTACAATTGGAGTACATGTATATTCATTTGCCCATGCAGGGCCGTTTTTCTAATTCAAGCACATGTCTTTTTGAAAATGAATTTTACATTTACAATTCAAGACCACTAAAATATAAAATGTCAGTGTTGTCTAAACAGAAGTGTCCATTAAAGAAGTCAAATAGCAATTATCAGATCCTGGACAGCCATGACACATCAATGACAATCAGTCTACCGTTACTCTCTATATTTCGTCTTAATTAGAATTTATTTCAATAAGAAAATCAATGATTTCTGAAAAATCAAAGCATCGGTATACGGTACACAATTCGTTAAGATATACTGAAAATTGAACAGGAGCTGAAAAAGGTGAAAAAAAACAGGCGAGTAGTCACATGGTTTAAACAAAGCTCTAGGCGTTTGCTACATGTAACTTAATGGAACGAACACCCGGGAGTTTTAACGTTATTTATTGCCATTTATTCATCATTAAACAAAAAAATATGGTAAATATATGTAGCATGAAAAGAAAAACATTTTTTCAATATTTTTGCAGAAAAATCAAAACTGCCATATATCGCAGTATGATCGTTATTTCTGAAGAAGATATTTTTGACGGTTTTTATTTCTGTGACGGTTTTATATCGAAAAAAAACAGAAAATGTCGCCCGGCTCCACCTGGGGGTGGGGGTGGGGAGGGGCTTTGAGTCACAAAGAATCTCTTTCAGCTTAATGATAGCCTATAGTAATTGGGCAGTATTGGATAGTGTCCGAAACGGTTAAAGGCTAACTAGTTCCTTTAAGAACTGTCTCTGATCGGACGATGCCCGCTGACAGTTCCTATCGCTTTCTATATAGCTGTAATATGAAAATATCGCTCATCTCGACCTCTGGTTGAAGGCTATTTTGGAATCCTTACCGACTATTTTTCACCCTGATTCTTTTTTGTTTGCCAAAGTAATCATTTATTGCCCCAGCTGACACATTTATAATAATCAACACTATTTTCAAGCAGAATTTTGCGATTAAAAACATACACATAATATGTTTGAACATGCGCAGACCGCATGTTTATTTAATCGCTAAATTATACTTGAACAAAGTGCTGAATTATTATAAATTTGTGTCAGGTATCAACCAGGTATGATGAGAAATGATTCCTTTTGCAAAAAATAAACATTATTCAGGGTGAAAAATAGAAGATATGGGTTCCAAAATAGCCTAAGAAAAGAGGTGGGGAAGAGCGTTATTTTACCGTATTTTCATATTGCAGCTATATAGAATTTAGAAAGCAATAGGACCGATCACATTCAGAGACAGTTCAGATCACATTCAGAGACAGTTCGGAGCCAATAGAAATAAAACCTAAAGTAAAGTAAATTGTTATGTTTTCGGATGTCAATGCTGATATTAGCTATATATTTAGACAATGAATTCCTTTAGATAAATGTAGGATCTCAGATAAAAAGGTAGAAGATTACATTGATACTTTTTTTGAACAAGGCTTTAATCAGCACTAACACTAACAGACAGAAAACTAAACGAACAATTATAATTTATTAATTATGAGTATCGTCGAATAGCCAGTTTGGATTATCATTAACATTAATACAAATTGCAGTTCTCTCAGAAATTTGTCAATGAGAGTTTCTAAATGAATGATATATTTACCAATTCCACTTATCAAATCTACAGATAAGAAAATCAGAAAGGTTAAAAAGCTGAATTCCATTTTGAAGCCTTCTAAACACTACTTGCTCTCTGCGACCGACACGTACGTGCTAACTTATTTACCTTCAAGCATTGGAGAGTTTTTACGGAGTTGTCTTTCTTTAAATGCTAGGCAACTTTTATTAATTTTTCGTTTAATGCTCTACTTATTATAAATGTATCCTGAATTTAAGAGTTTCTTTGAAATTTTGATCATTTCTTATACATCATTCCAACACAGTTGTCCTTTAATATATTATCATCGTCATAAGAACCTATTAAATAGCATAATGGAACTGTTCGCAAATAATTAATTTTATTGGAAGATTGACTTGGAAAAATCCAACTTCCTGTTTTCTTTTGGGATTGCCTCCCTTCGACTGCTGCTCTTGTAAGTGTCAACAAATTAATGAATTATTTAGTTAAAAAAATATTTGATGTTTTGAAGATGAGTTCATGCAAAACAGGTTTGATATAGAGCTTTAATGTTTTCCATATATTGTAGCCAATGCAATGGTGCAACAGAAATATTTGCAATATATGAATATTTCTGCCAAAATGAGACTGAATGTCAGTAAAAGCCAAAAACACAAAAAGTTAAAAAAAATAAAATATAATAGAATTATTTCAAAGTGATGAATTGTATCTTATACAGATTTACATACAAACTCTTACAAGCATCAGTACAGCTTAAAATATAGGAATGCATGAATTGCTACACAACTACAAGTACAACAAGGCAAAGTCAAGATTACCGGTACATGACATCTCGGAACGGCGACATTTCAGACTCAAAAAAATATGTCCTCAATGTTTTGGACTCAGGAAGGTGATGTTTCAGACTCTAGAACAAGTTGAAAGGAAAGGTTAAAACAAATCTGTTATAAGCCAAAAACGATTTTATGTAATAACATGCAAGTAAAATTTACCGTTTGTCATCAAGTAGAAGTACAGCACATGGATCACACACTGTACGTACATGTATACTATGTATAGACCTCTAAAGAAAAGAATGACACTATTCCAATGTTGAATGTTTTATATAATATGTGTTTCTTCGTATATCTGTCCATTTTTGTATATTTGATATGAAAAAAAGTAGCTCGTGAATTTCTTTGAAATAGGCAAATTCAAAACATGAAAAAAAATGTTAACATGAAACATATGGTTATTAAAAGGCTCTACCAGTACCAAATGATAAAACATTAGTTGCATTTACCATTCTTTGATAATTATCTTAAAGGTAATATATTTTTTTAAAAAATGGATATGCTGATGAATTTATTTGAGAATGACCTACTGAAACACATAAGAAAATATTTACATGACACGCATGGTTTTTACAAGTCCCTAGAAATTATTAACGATAGGCCTAATCCGTAAGCTGCACTTTGACATTCCTCGACAAGCTGCATTCCTCGACAAGCTTGCAATAGAGCAATAGAAGGCAGTAGGGCCTACCAATTGATAAATTATTGCGTACAAAGAAAAGTTTTTGGGAAAATATCAAAGCGTGATAATTAAAGCTGATTAACCAATAATCCTGATGTTATTGTAGTCTGTGCAAAGAAATCTTACGGTTCTTTGGTAGATGGAGAAACAAATAAGTTGTCAATCATCGATTATCACGGCCGTGTGTTGATTGCAGTTATTCTGTTTCACGTAAAAGACATTTAGTGATCGGTAGTGATCGGTCAGTCAAGATCATTTTTTATTTGATAAAAGAAAATGTTTTATTTATTCATCATTTATTATTGTCCGAAACATAGTCCGGAACCTCATTATTTTGAAGTCCTCAAAGTCGTCAGACTGAGTCCAAAGTGTTAGTGTTAGAAGCAGATCACGTAGCATGGACATTAAATGGCCCATACAGACATCATAAAAATCATTTTCATGACTCTTTTACAACCTAGAATGATATTGATGTGCCACTTTTTTAATCATTTGGCACAGATTCTCTATTGAAACATTTTAAGATGTATACCGGTACATGTACATAACTTAATCAGTAGGACGTTAAACCCTATTTCATTTCGTTTCATTTCATTATGAAGTTAATAAAAGCTCACTTATACATTTCCATTGTATATATAAGCTTACTAATGCTAGATCTATGTGTAAGTTAGAATTTATGTCACCTATCAATATTGCATGTTGATGAAAATATTAGAAATATTAAAAGGCAGTAATCAAGAAATATTTTTTTTGCAGTTACTACCACTGTCAGGAAAACATTGTAGCCTTTGAGAATTTTTTTTTCCATGTGACGTTAAACCACATTTCTTTCCTTGGCCCTTAACCCATATTTCTTGAAAAGATTTTAGTAACATTTTTGCATCAGGCTTTAACTCAGATTTCTATTGTAATGTCATTTTAAATCTTTTTTATTACAGGTGTGTGGGATTTGTTTCTATAACTGAGAATCGTTGACAGTCTAGACTGTAATTGGATTGACACCATGTAGGCTACATGGCAGGCAAAGTGGAATTACTGACAGAAATATTCCATTGGACAAAAGAACTTATGTTTTTAACTTCTTTTTAATAAAACTGAACATTCAGTTACCGAATCTAAGGTTTTAGTTATAATTCATGGATTAGATTTTAAATGAATTGTTCTTGTTAAATTGTTAAAAGAAGATTGACTTAAAAAAGTACCCCACAATGGAATCGGATAATTTTAAAACTGAACCTAATGATATTCAGTCTGATCGTGATAACCTTCAATACACTGATAATATACAAGAGGATCATCCACATTTCCATCCAGTGCATGGAAACCTTCCTCCAATATCAGAAAATTTTCATAATGCATCAGAAAATACACATCTATCCTCTATAAACTTTGAAAAATCTAACAGAATTCAGCAAATATCACAAAATGTTTGTTTAATGCCTGATTATGAAACTGATCAACAATTATTTGGAAACAACCAACAAGATTGTGAAAATATCCAACAATTATCCAAAAATGAAAACCTTGAAACATCTCAACAATACCATTATCCAATTAAAGCTAAAATTCAGTCTATATTTGAAAACATTCTACCAACATCTGAAACTGGTCAATCACACTCTGAAATTTGTCCACCGTCATCTGACACTGGGCATCCATCATCTGAAATCTATCAACCGACATTTGAAAACAATCAACAGATATCTGATGTCAATCAACCAACATTTGACAACATGCAACAAACATCAGGTATTAGTCAACCGACTTCTGAAAAGATCCAACTACTATCAGAAATGAGTCAGCCAATATCAAATACAACTCAGTCTCTACCAGAAAATCTGAAACAGACATTGGATAACTTTGAAATAGTCCATGACAAATTGCCATTAAAATCTAATGAAACTGAACCAGAATCTGATATTAATCATGTCATTTTAGAAACTGCTAAACCCGTTTCTGAAAATACCATATCAGTTTCTGCAAATATTCAAAACACCAAAATGAAGCCAAATATTAAACTAGATGACAAGGAAGTTCCCAGTTGTCTTTTGAAGTGTAACATTTGTAAAATGATTTTCAGAAAATCATCTCAGCTAGTCAAACATATGTTTTGTCATGATTTACTGCGACCCTATCAATGTAGTTATTGTGACAGGAGTTTCGAAAAAGTTAAACATTTAGTGGAACATATTGATACCCATAATATTCAAAACCCATATGGCTGTGATGTTTGTCAACATGTTTGTAATGATATCCAGGACTTGCAGACCCACTTTGAAAAGAAGCATGGCATAGATGTAGCAAATTACGAAGAAGAAGCAGACATTGAAGACTTTGAAAATGCCATTGCTACATCATCGCAAAGGCCATTAAGAAATACAAATGAAAGATACAGATGTTACAAGACTATTCCAGAAATCAATGGAAATAATGTATCCATAGTAACAGAAGGCTCCAATCAAAATGCCCCAACTGTTACATTATCTAAAAGACATCGATTGTTTTCATCTTTTGTTCCCTTATCTGATATATCACAGAAAAATAGTTTAGGTCAAAATTCTATCTCCAACATATATGCCAAAAAGAAAAAACCAAAGAGGACTTGGCTAAGAAACAAAATTGTTACCAGCAGAAAAGAGAAGAAGTCCTGTTCGGCATTGTCTGTTTGTGAATTCTGTTGTCAAGTCCATCCAGACATCAGGCGTCATCATTTTTCACATCCAGAAAAAATGTTAAATGTCTGCGGATTCTGTAAATTAAACTTAGCAACAAAAAGTTCAGTCCTTAGGCATTATTTGATTGTACATAAACGCAAAAAGAACCTACAGTGCAAACACTGTAATTTAATTGTTGGTTCTGAGGCTAATTATATCAAGCATTTTCTAGAATTCCATCCGTCAGAGTCTACAGACCATGGTGTCGTTGAATGTAAAGACGAATCTGAATCTGAAGATGAACCATGGATTGAAGAAACTGAAGATGAAATTCCAGAAGAAGAAATCGTTGACCCGTCACAGTTGTCCATTTGTGAATTTTGTGGTCAAGTTCATCCCAATATTAAGCGTCACCATTTCTCCCACTCAGAGAGTAAATTGTTGCAGTGTGGGTTCTGTGATTTGAAGTTAGCAACTAAAAGTTCAGTGTCCAGACATTATATGCTTCTGCATAGAAAAAAACAAAAGTTCTTGTGTAGAATATGTAATTGTGTGTTTCGATCTGAGCTCACATATAAAAAACATTATCTTGAAAATCATCCGAACAAAGCAACGGAAAGATTAAAAATAGTCTTTGACGATACAGGACAAATATCAGATGGAGTTGTCCAAGAAAGTAAGATTGAGATAGATATGGATATTACCTCATCGGAAGATTCCCCGTCTGAAGAACTATCATCGGATGCAGAATCCAAAGCCGTCAACCTAGCTAAAATTAAAAATTCATCACAGCCTTGCATTTGTCCGTTTTGTTGCGAAGTTCAGCCATATTTGAAACGTCATCAATTGGAGCATGATCAGGCAACATTGAACAAATGTGGTTTCTGCGGCATAGTATTGGCCACTAAAAATTCTGTTATACGTCATTATGAATCCATGCATAAAGCAAAAAAAAATCTGGACTGTAAGATTTGCAATGCTG